CTTTCTCTCTTTTTATTTTTTTTGAACCGGCATCTCTCTTTCTCTCTATCTCTTTTCTTTTCTTTGTTTTCTCTTTTTCCTCACTATCTCACTGCTTCTTACTACTAAACGCCATTTCCCACTGCTAACGACTAAATATATTTTGTAAGGCGAAAGGTATAACGTTCGCAGCTTCGGGCTAGACAATTAGAATAGAATAAACGAAAAACGACTTTCTAATAAAAGAATATTTAGGATAAATAATCTTAATCAATATCATAGTATACGTGACAGATTCCGTACATGTAAATAACTCTGAAATTCGACTTCGTGTGAAGAAGTTATGTTTCTTCGAAGTTCTGCGATCAAATCGACACGACCATCCGTATCGTAGAAAGTGAAATTTTAATACATTACTTTTTAGTATAAGTAAACTAAAATAAAGTCGTTGTAGTCGTAAAACTGAGAGTGTGTATATAGAGAATGTCCAAATCTGACTTCGTCAAAGGAAATTATGATTTTTCGAAGTTTCAGCGCACCTGTATTAGTACAAAAATCGAATTTTAGATTGGTCGAGTTTGAGAAATCTAAACGAGAATTAAAGATCGCGTGATAAGAAGTCCATCGATATAAAGACAGTCGAAAATGGAGTCCATATATAAAAGTTATGAATTTTACACAGTCGTTAATAATGTAATATTCGTAGACTATTAAATTTAAGATCGGATGAGAATTAGCTGACGAGATCTAAATGAAAATTGTAGTACTCGAAAATTCTTACACGTATAGAGAAAATTGAAAACAAACTTCATATGAACGAGATATGAAATTTTGAAGTTTCTAGCCATACATACTCCCTACCACAATACTCTAGCCAAATTCGAACATGTGTCGGCATTTGAGAGGGCCAACCAGGCCAGGTCGTGACACGCACCTTGTCTCGGCGCGTTGCACTCTCATATATTTTTTTTATCTATATATAGTCCTTCACCCCCCCCCCCATTCGATATTCACACCATCCCAACTGATGCTCTCAAGTTTCTGTCAACTTTAGTCTGAGTTTTCTTTAGTTTTAAGTTTGTGGCGAAACCCTGAGGTTCCTGAGAGCCCGAACTACTAGTTAAATTTCCAAACTTTTGTCTAGGAAATATCTGCAAGTTAAATTACACTCAACTTTATCTTAGTGTAATTTATATTTATATTCAAAGTCATTATTATGAACTTATAAATAAGATCCATCAGTGATTCCAAGTCAAAATACTAATTGATATACTTACGGGGATAATATCTAGGTTGGATTTAGTGAGGTGTTTAAAGTAGAATTTCCAAATAGTATTATTACATACACCAAACGGACCCTACCTCAAATATGATCCTACCTGGTTGTTCCTTATTTGATGGATCTTGATGTAGACATCGTAATTAGTAAGGAATATAGATTATCATTAATCGTGGGTAATATAAAGACTAAAATTTAGTAATCTGTAGGGCTGAAAAATATATATCATAGAAAACCAACCCATATGTTACCAAACAAACTAATAAAATCGGTAGCCAACATGTTTGATAGTAAATACGTTTTGTCAGTAATATCATACCAATTAAGTAGACTTGGTATGGTAAAGATATAAAAACTTGTATACCACGGTTATACCGTACCAACAAATTTATATATATATATATATATATATATATATATATATATATATATATATATATATATAAATATATAAAGGAAATTAAAAACACAATGGCACATGAAACTAAAAGTAATTAGTATTTAGTAACACAAGCCACAACAACTTCAAGTACTCACGTTCACTTCTAGGTTAGGGCTACCACATTTGAATATTCACAGTGTTACTTCTCTCTCACTCTCTCTTGTTCCTACTTATCAAGCCAAATTTCCATTCAATCAATTCTTCCCTAGTTAGGAATTGCAATTTCTCAATCGACAATCACATGTTTTTAGTATATACAGATATCAATATGTACTGACCAATTTTTTGGTAGCTAAATAAGTTGGTACCAAGTATTTCGGTACGGTACTGGTAGTTAAATTCATCCACCAACTATAGTTGGTACGGTACATGGTTTGGAGGAAAAAACTTGGTACCGTACTCATTCCACCCCTAGTAATATTAACCTAGGTCGCGTTAGAGGAAAAACTACAGTACCAAGGCGAAGTTTGCCCAAATTCCGAGACATCAACTTTGATCATGTGAGTGCATAGTTGTTATCATCTTACACATAGATATAAAGCATTTAGATAATTAAATAGTATATGTGATTATTATCTACAATATGTGTTGGATGAACTTATTGATATAATTTTACTCGATTTAATTATATAAGTATTTTTGTACTTATATATATATATATATATATATATATATATATATATATATATATATATATATATATATATATATATATATATATATATATATATATATATATATATATATCAGGTAGCAATGGGTGATAAGAGATGGGAGATGAGAAATGAAAAATGATTAGGAGATTTCCTTAACAATGAAAATATATGAGATGCCATAACTTTTACTTTTGATGAATGCAATGTAGTCATATAACTGAGTGTAGATGACGACCACATACTAATCTCAACATTCGAATGGAACACTAACATGTTTGCAACCTGTAGGTAATGAATTACGAGTTCAAGCAACGTACGAACCACACATTCATGTGTTGTACTCTACTGAAATGTATTGCGGAGGAATCCCCAAAGTAGTAGTCTCAAGGCAATGATAGGTAGACCTGTCAATCGAGCGGGTTTTGACCCTGATTCGCTCCAAACCCATAACAATTTTAAGGGTTTCGATTTTATTTTTTTGATTAGTTTCACCGTTTACGACCCGTACTCGTTTAATATTTTATTAAAATGGTTAGTTAGGGATCATTTTCGATTCGCTCAACTTAAGCCACCCTGTTTATAATATATATATATATATATATATATATATATATATATATATATATACACACACACGAGTAAGATCAATAGAAAATGCATAAACCTAAAAAAAACTCCTAGATACCAAAAAAAAAAAAAAAAAACAATACATAAAAATAATAATTTGAGATATCTATTTTTTTTTTTACTTTATAAATATAAAAATTGCATATATAGGTATATTTTCGCTGAAATAAATAAAAAAAATGTGGTTTTTTCTAATTTGTTTATATATATATATATATATATATATATATTATAATATATATATATATATATATATATATAATATATATATATATAGACACACAATTCCAAGGTTTATAACCCACTATATATATATATATATATATATATATATATATATATATATATATATATATATATATATATATATATATATATATATATATATATATATATATATATATCAACGCCCACTCCTAACCCTAAGTTTACGACACTTTTCTTTCAACATCTACTCTTCTTTGAAGAAAATCATCATTCATGTCTCAATACTGTCTTCAAGTATTCACCATTCATAATTCTTCATCTCAACTTCATTACTCTTGACAGTTGGAAGTATTTAGTTCGTCAACAAGAGTCATAAGTTCTTTTTGTTAATCTTGACTCTTTGTTGCATTTAATTTTGAGTTTTAGTAATGTAATTATTTATTTAATAATCATTTTATCTTTGTTTGAAACATATTACTTTATGGGACACATTAAAATTATGTAATTTTAATATTATAAAACGGTAAGATTAATGGTTCGGGTATTCGTTGATTCGGTGGATACATATATGAATTCGATTATTCAAAACTTTGAGGGTTATTGTGGCGGGGTAGATCATGTTTTCAATTTCTCTAAAATGTATTGGATCAAGGGTGATCCGCTCCAAACCCACCTCATTAATAATTTCTCTAAAATGGATTGGATCAAGGGTGATCCGCTCCAAACCCGCCTCATTAATAGGTCTAATGATAGGCGATGAACATTACGAGAAGTACTTAGCGATGATAATATAAAATGCAATGTTACACCTTAGGAGAAGTCCTTAGCGATGAATATATAAGAAAATGTGATGTTGGCGATGATCTTTAGGATAGTTCCACATAAATGAATATAAAAGAAAATGTGGATGGGTAATTGGGTTAATTATTTGATAGATAATTAAACATATTAACTATATCATTGTGGGTTAAAAAACATATGTACTCAACAGGTTTTCCAACCTAACTCACTCAGCTTCTTTGTATCACAAGTACTAGTACAAAGGTATATGAATGATGAGAGATTCAAGGAGATATAGATTATTTGTCTAAGATACGGTAAGGCCTATTTATGTTTATGTTTCTTGTACCAGTTATGGCATCCCAAAGTTTTTAATAATCAATGTAAAAATTTTCTTCAAAAATACTTTTATGGGATCAATTTTACATTTATAAATAAAGTCTGTTTTAAATAAGCATAAATAAAAAGTTTTAAGTTGGTTGTAAAAATAGCGATGTCACAGTTGGTATCAGAGCATTAATTTAAGCAAACTACGAATATTTGAATATTTATGGACTTAAACTTATAATGCTAAGCAATGATTGGTAGACGTGTGTCTATTATAATTTAGGTAATACACCTGAATTGACACAAACACTAGCTTACTTTAGGATAAGATGCCTAATTTGATTATATGTTCTAAATGATTTGTACTATAGCATGCCTTAGGTTGCCTATCTAAATACAAAAACAAACTATTCAATGGAGACCTATCTCAAATTTTTATCTCCGATATGAAGATTCTGATAAAGAGATAGTAGAACTAGATGTTTCTGAATCCGAAGATGATGAAGATGATGTTGTTAAAAATGTGATTCTTTGTCTTCAATCTATCAAGGAACCACCTGTCAAAATTCTTTCGGAAGTAGAGAAGATGAAATGGTCCTCAATTTCTTGGCCATCATCTTTTTCTGAAGTATTCAAAAGGAGTCGAGACATGGCTAAAGTCAAGAAAAAGCTGACAATTGATGCATTCTTAGCCACTTAACCAATGCCTCCTCCAATTTTTGCTCCGATAATTGCTCAAATTAATGTAAGTTCTCTCACCAAGAAACCGGATGACATCCCTGAAGATCTTTTGGTTCCTCTTTTATTCGAGTTGGTAATCGTTCAAACTAGCCTACAAATCATCTCCTCCATCTTTTCCCATGAAGAGCAATCAGCTGACAAAGGAAAACGAATTGCAACTGATTCTGACAACCCTGTGAAGTCGTCGGAAAAGCCTAAGGGTTGGTTAAAGGAACAATTACAGCAAGCACTGGAAGACATTCAGATTCAAGCACTCAAAGACAATCCAAATTCAATGTTGAGAATTTCTCCTCTCTTCAGAGAATGGATTCTTCTTGATATACATTTTGTTCCCTTTATGTATTTCGATTTTCCAATAGATGATGCAGATCAACTTGACATACCAATCTCTCCACATAGACGTTACTACATCAAGTTTGATCTTCACTATCTATTCTATGAATGCACGAACCCAAACGGAAGTATGGTCTTAGAAGAAAATTACCAAGATAGTTGGTCATGGTAGAAAGGTCCAAGGCAAGTTCGATCTTGACTGTCTTCTGTACCATTGTTTAATATCTCGGAATAAGTAATCCACCATCACCATCACCGATGCATATTTTCCTTCAATGAACCTAAATCACATTCTTGTCATAGTTGCTCATCTCCAAGATCTCCAAACGAATGAAACAAGCATTGGAGCTTACAACTCCACCATCAGCTTTCTCAAGGACTACATTACTGGATTTTGTAGATCCAGTGTAGAGTTTGGTCATCTCTTCGGAATAGAGAATCATTTGGCTAATATCACCATTGAGCTTCCTAGAACCTAGATCTTAGCTGAAGGTCTAATCGAAGAACCTGAACTTAGCTATGTCTATCTCAAAAAGAAGTCAAATCAAAAAGAAATTTTCAGAGTTATGGACAAACACCTTGTTCCCACCAAGATTCCTAATAAGATCATTTCAAATTCTTACAAGAATGATTCCTCCAAGCATATCAAGAAGAAATTTATTGAGCATCTCCAATGGTACATCGAAGTCCGAAACTGGTTCCAGAATGCTTACTTATTTGTGTTTGATGAAGCTAAGTGATGAGTTGGGTGATTGCTAAGTTCACTTATGGGGAGATTGTTAGAACATGAAAATTGATCCTTAACCAATCCGAGGTAAAGCATATCCGAGGTGATGATGCTCCGAGATGCATTCCATTCAGAAGTCAAGATAAATCCCATATGCAGTGTTGTGTTATGTGTTTTGAGTCGGTAATTCGCATTGTTTATCACAAGTACTATTTTGTTATTTTGCTATTGTATCTTAATGTGTGTGTGTGTGTCGATATATATATGTATATATATATATATATATATATATATATATATATATATATATATATAGTACATGGGACAAGATCAACAGAAACAGATTTTTCAGTTTGTTAATCTTCAGATTCTAGCAGTCCCTTCTTACTTTTCACTATTTGTCTTTTACTTACTCCTTGACTATTTAAGGAGTAGTCACTTTTGTATCATGTGTGGGATATGCACCTTTGCTATTATCAAGAATTATTCAGTAAATCATTCTCTCTTACATTCTTCTTGTTCTTTAAGTTACTTTTCATTGTTCATACTTGTTATTTATTCATACTTTGAGCACTTTGTTGATTACCTAATTCCGTGACAGGACTTGTTTACTAGACTTGACTGGATCTTTATTATTATTCGACATTGATGTTAAGTTAATTCAAGGTTTGAGTTTTCATACCTTGTCCACGCAGATCTTTGCTCTCACAATAAAGAAGAGATCGAGGAAAGAGTGGAATGTTTTAATCACACTGAGGTGAAATCAGCATGAATCAAAAACAGCCAACTTATCAACAAGAAGCGGTTTATCTTCAGTATCATAAAGTTAAGTTTCAGTCTAAAATTTTATAATTCACCATCAATTCATTCAATGGTGTACATGAAAAAATAAGTAAAGAAATAAAAGTCTAAGAAATGGTCAACAGAAAAATAGTTAAAAAGGATTATACAACTTTTTCAGAGCCCCTTTTCGTAGCCTTTTTCAGGAGAATCATAAAACTGATACTAGAATATCTTTTGATTTAAAAGCTCATAATTCAGTTTCCTTTCTTCGAGATACCTCCTCTTCAAAACATTCTATAAAAGAGTACACAAGCAAGAACAAATAAATCAATATAACTCACTATCAATTGAGAATGACAAAGCCTTTAACTGTTGAAATGTTGAGGATAGATTCTAAGCTTCATGTTCACCAAGAGCAAGAAAGGAACGGGAACAAGTCTTCGCAACCAACGATTTAATGGGCTCTAATCCATGAAACCATCAAGTTGACAAGATCAACACGAGGGAAATTGAGGTTTAATCAGATTATGAGTCAGTAAATGAAAGTAAGAATCATTGTATTGATGGAGACTTCTTGCATCCATAATAGTGAGTGAAAGAGATAAAGATTATTGTCAACAAGAAGAATACTAGATGAAAATATTATTTTCAATAACTAGAGCATTTAGAACATTCGGAATGACCCCAATTATTTCTAATTTTGGAAGGAAGGGGTGCAGATAATCTGTAGATAAGATATTGGTAGACTTGAAAATAAAGAATAGAGGGACAATAAAATACTTGTAAACATTAGATGCAAGGCTTAATAAAACTATGTAAATTTCTTTGACAAAAGCATAATAAAAGAAGCACTTGTTATTTTTGTGTTTTTTGTTTTAAGAAAGAAAGTAAAAAGCAATGTTATTTTAAACGAGTTAAACAATAATAAATTCATTGAAAGCATGCCAAGATCTGCAATCAATTTGTCAACAGTCTTGTTATCCAATGCATGAGATGTCTGAAGTTGGAAGGGTTAAAGTTGATTTTCAAAAGGAAACTATTGTTACTAACATCCCAAACATTGATGCAACAAATGATAACTAGCCTATTCCAGACACTGGTGATTAATTAGAGACCGATGACTATGAAGGCTTTCTTTAACTAGGATTCATGCCACAAGCTGTTGTTCCTTTGAATTTTATCTACCCTAATTCATACTTTGAGGGGGATTTTCCTCAAGGAACTAATAGTGACATTGAGTCTGATAATGATTATCTCAATCCTCAAAAGAGGAAGGCTTCCTTCTCCGGGGGGGGGGGGGGGGGGGGGGCTCATGATGCTGAAGCTAGAAGTTCTTATATTGTTAGTGAGCCTTCAACACCTCCTCTTTCCAAAAAAAGCATGCTCATTTTTATTTGAATGAGTTGGCCAAAATATGGTATATAATTGTTGATGAAGTAAGACAAATCATGATAGAGAATAATGACGCTATTCGAGAAAGAAAGAAGCTAGAAAAGGAGAACGTCTACCTGCCATACTTGCTCAAGCTCTTGCTTCCGCTGATGAAAGTATTGATGTTTCAAAGCACTAATGATCAAGTCAATAAAATTCAACTCTTTAATAATAGTGTGGAAAAACAATAGGGTTACAGAGTTGAATGCTAGGATCGATCGAAAGAAGTTTGGAGATGTTCAAACTCGAAGAACAAAGAATAATCCCATTATCAGGGTGAGATTCACCAAACTAAGGAATGAGTCTCTAAAGTTTCACTTGGTCAGGAAGATTACTGAATAAGAATACACTGAAGTTGTATTTGCTTGTGAGCTAGCAAAATTTGGCTACAGAAAGCGGATGCAAATTCAAGAAATTACTGAGAAACAAAAGGGTATTTATGCTCAATAAGTGAAGTTGGCAATTCAACAGCTACTCAACAAAGTTAAGAAGCTGAACCTTATGACATCAGTTGGTCCATCTAGGCCATCCTCCTCAAGAAGAATAGGCGTTCCCAGAAAGTCCAAGAATACTAAGTTTCTTCTTCCTTATGGCACTCTGTACATCAACAACGAACAACTAGTGGGTGTTGAACTAGGTTAGTACATGTTCATTTGAGAACTAGAACATGGCATTTTCTATCTTGACAGTCAAAATTACATTTTCTTTTAACGCACTTGTGATATTCCTACTGCTCCCACGGAACACTTATTTCATCTTTGCATGGAAGGACTTGGTCATTTTGAACTGGAAAGGGGATATCATGTGCGGATCTCTTCGGAGCTTAGTAAAAGTTTGGAAGAGCTTCAAATTGATGAATTCATATAGGTTAGCCCGAGATCTTGAAAGAAGATGAAAAGTTCTACAATGGTTCTTCTGATGACTCTGAAGAAGAAGAAGATTATTTTTTACATCATCAGATAGGGGGAGATTGTAAGGTCACCCTTACGATTTGATGAGTCAAACACTCTACATGCTATCTATAAGCTTCAATGTTTATATCACCATCAACGTCAGTGTATCAAGTCTATCAGCATCAACGTGTAGACAATTATGCTATATAATCATTTGTATATAAGGTAATGATACATATATGTATAGAATAGATAGCAGATATGATATTTTTGTGATAAGGATTGGTTCGTAGTATAGGTTAGAAACAATCCCTTCAATCAAGGGATATACATGTATAGATTAGCATATAATCAACATTAGGTTAAACCCTAATGTTGTGTTCGTCTTGGTGACCGTATTTGTGACAACTCGTTTTCTTGGTGAAAACAACCCGTTTATTGGTGAAAAACAATTTGGTGAATCCTTTGTGTTATTTGCTTTTCTATTATTTAATTGCTTAGTAATTTTGTTCTTGTTTGTTATACTTGTAGTGTATCCGATCAACACAAACCTTCAATTAGTATTCGAGCGGGTTTTTGATATACTCACGTAATCATGTTGACTACCAATAAATCATGTCGACTACCAAATTTAAATTTTTAAAAACATTTAGAAACCAATAGTTATTACACATTTTTTTTTCAATACAGTTCTATATCAGAGTATCCCATAAACATAGTAATAAAATGTGAGGAGTTGTACAATCACGCCTTTGCCTTCCCGCGCTCATCGGAGGTACCTGAAACCAAAACTAAAACTGTAAGCCCAAAGCTTAGTGAGTCCTCCCAAAATACTGATACACAACAAATAGCACATATACCAATAACAACATGTAATGGGTCCACAAATTTACAGACTAGATTACCTATGGGCCTACAATGTGAGTCTGGCTTGCCTTCCGGGCCCACAGTGTACATCTAGCTTGCCTCTGAGCCCACAGTAAGAGTCTGGCATTCCCTTCGTGACCCTCAGCTCGTATCTGAAATGCTCCTGAGCCCATAGTACGAGTCTAGCATACCCTGCCCGGGTCTTAGCTCATATCTGGAATGCTCCTGAGTCCTCAATATGAGTCTAGCCTGCCCTGCGCGACCCTCAGCTCATCTCTGGAATAATCTAGGGTTTGTTGGCTACCGCATAAAGCAGTACAACCTCAACCCATCCCACATAACATGCGACATATAACATAACTAATGCACATACATGTAATCAGATAGTAACACATGTAGTCCTATAGCTCTACCAACTGGCATAGCAACTAGCATGCATAAATAATTCATACTCAACATAACACCAACTACTAGGATATCAGATCCAATAGGTAGGCATTGGTGCCTTCCACCCTTAAGTATAGTGAGGAAAACTCACCTCACAAATGTCGTACTAAAGTGATAAGCTCAAACTCTCGAATTACAGTTACAGACTCCACCACCTATATTTTTCATAAGACAATTCCATAAATTTCCAATTTACTAAGATACCCCTAGAAGTCAAACTAGTCCATCCTTGGTCAAAGTCAAGGTTAACGGTCAAGGTCAACAGTCCATGTTGACCCAACTCGTCGAGTGTAGCTCACTGACTCATTGAGTCCTTCCAGAACTCGAGAAG